TTGGGGTGCCAGGGCAGCCTCAAGGGGAGGTTCCTGCTCGCTGGCCCCTGATACCCATCTCTCTACCCCCAGGAGCCCTGAAGTCCATCATGAAGAAGCGGGATGGTCCCCCCCGGAGCGAGCCCGAGGGCAGCAAGAAGAGCCTGCAGTTTGTGGGCGTGCTGAACGGGGAGTACGTGCCAAGGGGCTCCTGCCACCCCCCACTGGGCGGGGGGCAGTGGCAATGGGGGTGCCTGGAAGGGACCAGCCAGGTGCCACATTGCCACTGAGCATCCTCCTTCTGTGCAGGTACGAGAGTACATCCAGTGAGGAGGAAGAGGAGGAGGAGGAAGGAGACAGCTCCTCCGAGAAGGTTTCAGCCGACAGTTCCGACAGCGAGGAACAGGGGGACACTGAAACCTCGGATGAGGAGGCTAGGGAAGGCGAGTGCGAGCCAGGACAGGCGTGCGAGGGGGTCGGTGTGACCCTGCCAGAACCCCCTGAGGTGAAGGAGAAGTAAGTGCCGATGGGGAAGGCTCCCTCGCCCTGCACAGCTGGGAGCCGTGGGCTGGCACTGGTCCTGACAGTTCCGACAGCGAGGAACAGGGGGACACTGAAACCTCGGATGAGGAGGCTAGGGAAGGCGAGTGCGAGCCAGGACAGGCGTGCGAGGGGGTCGGTGTGACCCTGCCAGAACCCCCTGAGGTGAAGGAGAAGTAAGTGCCGATGGGGAAGGCTCCCTCGCCCTGCACAGCTGGGAGCCGTGGGCTGGCACTGGTCCTGCAGGCTCGGGGCGTCTGCCCTGGTTTTGGTTTTGGTGCAGCCGATGGAAAAAAAACGCATTCAGCTCCTGTAGAAACCATTTGGCAGGAAAAAAGATCCTTCCAGCTTCTTGGGTCTACTAAGGAAAGGATGACCCCAAGACCCCAGATGCCTCTTTGCTGGAGAAGATAGTTTAAAGGGGGATGAAAAAAACCTAACAGCCCTTATTGGCATTTTGCAACAAAAGGAAAAACATTTGGCCTAAAAATGGGTAA